GTATGATTTTTATCCTTCATTTTTTAAAATGTAGAATACTTCCTTATTATAGCAGTATATAAAACAAATATAACTTTAAATGTTTATAACCACACCAACTATACATTATCATTATGACTGATGTTATTCAGCTCATTCAAATTTGAGTAATAGCTTATATAATTCTTGAAATTCACTAACCTTCATAAAAATGTGGGATTGAAATGCATGTACATGTTTTTATTAAAGAGTATATATAAATGTTACTCTCTGACTTTATTCATAATCTCAGTATTTTTATACATTCTCAGAGAGTTAACTAAACTCAAAGCCTTTTATTGTTAAGAGAACTAGCATAATTATATTTGCCAATGGCAACAGCCTTAAGAGTTAATTAATAGTCATCAAGATGGCGGGTGTGCCAGGCTTTTTCATGCTAGAGACACACAAACATAGTACAGCCCCTGTCCACAGGAGAAGGCTCCAAGAACCTGGTGGGATAGATGAGCATGCACGCAACACCTGGGAAAGGGGTAATCACTTCCATAAAAAGAGCCTTGGAGCCCAGAAAGAATGGCTAGTGCTAATCAGGAAAATCAGGGAAGACTCCTTGCAAGTGATGACATTTGTGGAATGAACAGGTGGAAAAGGGTAAGCAGAAGAACTGAGGTATACCTCAACCAATCAATACATAAATAGATGAAAAATTTTTAATAAAAAGAACCAAAATGTGAAGAGGCATGAAGATCCCAAGCATACTGACCTTAAGATTCATAATGAAGGAGAAGAGTTAGTGGGTCACAGGGCTAGAAAATTTGTCCAATGTCAGGTTATTCTGGGCATTGAATGCCAGGCTAAAAGAAAATAAATTTAGGAGAGTAATATGTTTTTACTAAAAATGAAAAAGTAAAGCCCACCAGGCAGAGTCTGGAGCCAACTTCGCAAACTCTGATTTTGTGGGGTCCTCATCAGGGCATCCAGGACTGATCAACTCCATGCCGCTTGCAGAGGCTTAAAGGCAGGATCAATTCAGAATAGCCTTCCAATGTCTGGGCTTGTGTTGTCATCATGAGAAGGTTGGGACAACTTCACCTGGGAGGAAAGAAATCTGGGGGAAAGTGACTAGAGAGAAAAGCTTTCAGGACAGAAAAGGCCACCTCTGAAAAGGACTCACTGAGGAAGTAAAGCTGAAGTCCCTCAAAGAGAAACCAACAAGTTGTGTTTACAAGATTGAAGCCAATGAAGAGACATAGGTGGTTGAAAGGGAGGTGCTTTAGAAAGCTCTTTAAGAGGCTACAGAATACAAAATAGTCACAGGGATGTGAAGTACAGCATGGGAAATACAGTCAGCAATATTGCAAGAATTGTGCACAGTGCCAGGTGAGCACCAGACCAATCGGGGGACCACTTTGCAAATCGTGCAAATGGCTAACCCCCTGAAACCGACAGAGAACAATATTGAATGTCAACTCCAATTGAAAAACAAAAAATTTGAAGAGTTAATAAATAATAACTGATAGGTCACCAACAGATTTTTGACCTCGTTCCTTCTTCCTTTAGAGCAAAAAGAACTTTTACCTGAGCATCCAATCTAACCCCTAAAAACTGACAGTATCCTTCAAACAACTTCTTTAAAAGCACTCCAAATGATCATTGATATTTTAATAGTTCAATGAGGATTATACCCTTCAATCTGAAAGTCTTCAGCCTTAAAGTCATTGATTGTCAACTTTTCAAAGGATTTGGAGCTTTGGGAAAGGCCTTGGTTCTCGACAAAGCTGCATTTTCAGCAGTTCAGTGTGATTCAGAAAAATGTGTGCCTATGTCAAAGAGAGTAAAAAGTCACCTGGCTTCAGGCTGTGATGTGTGCAATCATGTAGGAGCAGGGACTATTTGGCAACGTTGAAGGGCACACCTAGGCCCATGTCTGCTGACCTCTTGTACAGCTGGCAGGACAGCTCACTGTTCACCACATAGAGCTGGCAAAGGGTATGACACAGAGGTAGGGCCATGCAAGGAAAATCTTTTGGATTCCAAGAACACAGGATGATTCTTCTGTCATCAGGGTTGGTTTTGATTGTGTGTCACCTTGTGCAGTTGGTCTGCTCCTTGACCTGAGTAATCTGAATACATATCTTTGTCTTCTGCCCCCAAAGACTTCCACTGAAAGCCATAAACTGGGCCTAAATACCCTTCTGTTCTGCTGGAGAATCCCAGGAAATTGCGGGACGTGTTCGCATCCCAGATTCTCACTCCTTCGGCAACAGTTCTTTAGCATTTATAGATCCTGTGACAAATTCCTCCAAAACACCCTTCCGGAATACACATTTGGTTGTCAGCAGAGGAAATTCATCTCTTAGGAAGTAGCACACCTGCATGCTGAACGCCAACAGGGTGCCGGTGCTGGTGCTGTCATCCTTCTGGAAGCCACAACGGAGGATGTGCTCCATCTGCCCCAGATACTGCAGCTCCCTACGGGGCTGTGGCTGGGTTGCCCACTCCTGCATCGCCAGCGGCAACAGTGGGTGTGGCAGCTCAGAAATGGTGGTAGGCACGGCATGGGCGTGGTTGCAGAGACCAGGACAATGGTGGGAAGCCCTATCCTTCGTTTTGTTTATGTGGTGTATCATGTTAATTGACTTGCAGATATTGAACCAAACTTGCACCCCAGGAATAAATCCCTGATCACAATGTATGATTTTTATAAATGTAGTACTGAATTCGGTTTGCTAATATTTTGTTGAGGACTTTTGCATCTATGTTCATTAGGGATATTGGCCTATAATTTTTTTTTTTGGAATGTCTTTGGCTTTGGAATCAGAGTAATAGTGGCCTCATAGAATGTGGTTGGAAGCCTTTTATCCTCTCGAATTTTTTGGAATAGTATGAGAAGGGGAGATATTGATTCTTCTTTGAATGTTTGGTAAAACTCACCTGTGAATCCTACTGATCTACGACTTTTGTTTGTGGGGAGTTTTTTGATTACTGATTCAATTTCGTTAATAGTAATTGGTCTGTTCAGATTTTCTGTTTCTCCTTGATTCAGTCTTGGAAGAGTGTTTCTAGGAATTTATCCATTCTTCCAGATGTCAAATTTGCTGCCATGTAATTGTTCATTATTTTACAATTTTTTTTAAAAGGTTTTAAAAATAATTTTAATGATGTTCAGCTTCTGTTGGCTGCCATTTGCAGTGTCTGACTGTGGCCCTTCATCTCACAGGTCTCAGCCCCACGGAGCTGCCATTTGATTGCCTTGAGAAGATGAGCCGAATGCTCAGCTCCACGTACAACTCTGAAAAGGCCGTTGTGAAAACCTGGCGCCACCTAGCTGAGAGCTTTGGACTAAAGAGGGATGAGATTGGGGGCATGACAGATGGCATGCAACTCTTTGACCGCATCAGCACAGCGGGCTACAGCATTCCAGAGTTGCTCACAAAACTGGTACAAATCGAGCGGCTGGATGCTGTGGAGTCCTTGTGTGCAGACATACTGGAATGGGCTGGGGTCGTGCCGTCTGCCTCCCAGCTACCTAATACATCCTGAAGAGCATGCCTGTGGGCTGTCCTTCTTGGGATGCACCAAGGATCTAATGAGGGCGCTGGAGCTGTGAGTGGTGCCAACAGACTGCCAAGAATCATGGCTTTTTTCTGCTACGTCACCAGGGTATACCTTAGGCTGTTCCAAGGAACAAGGGGAAATGAGGCCTATCTTCCAATCTAACTAAAGACAAAAGATTACAGCTAAGATACTCCTAGCTACCCACCTGCACCTCCCCAGATGGAATGAATACGTATTCATATAGCCAGCCCACTCGTCATTAACTCATTCAGGAACATTGTTGGGTCCTCAAATGAACCAAACAATGTGGGGATGACAGAGGTGAAGAATCTGAGTCTTGTTTAAGAAGTTTACAGCCCAGCGAGAGACAGAAGACATATCCACAAACCACTTTGCTAGAAGTCATCAATCAATCTGAATGAGGGGAGTCTAAGAAAATGCAATAAACGTTCTGAGAGTGGGAGATGGCTTCCCACTGAGGTAATGAAGGGGGCATCCTCATGAAGAAAGCAGCTCGAAAGTTTAGTAAAATGGCTACAAAATTCGGACACCCAACTCCATGTATTGTTTCTGGTTTAGTGCATGTGGCTTCATGAGGATAACTTTGCCTGTTCTTGAGGTCGTTCATATTCCTGCAACTCTTCTAGTCATTAACGGAAGAGCTCACACTGTAGCCTGCTTTCTGTCACTGATATGCAAGGCATGCATTTGTCCAATCAAGTAGACCTGTGCAGTAGTCAATTTCATGTACTGTGTGAGCCTTGGGCCTGGGAACCCAGTCGTTTTTTATTATACGTGAATTGCCTTCCACTCTCATTCTCAGTCATATTTGACCCTTTGGAAGCAGCAGTACTCAAAGGACCCTAGCTATTTAAATTATGTGTCAGGCTGTTTTTGCTTCAAAGAGAAATGAGTGGTCAACTCTGCTTAGAAAGGGAAATGATGACTTCCTAAAAGCTCAGCCATGCACATAGTTCTAGATTGCCAAGAGTGTTTGAGACTTGTGGATGAGCCACATGATGTAAGAGTTTTAGACTGTAGCCTTCTGAGCCAGTCAGGGGAAGTGGAGCCCCCTGTGCAGGGAGAGCCTGTGCTTGGAGTCCAGGAACCTGGTACTAGTTGTGCCAACTTGGGTCATTTTCTTCTCCCTCCCTAGGCCTCAATTTGTCTTCTTCGAATAGGAGGTTCATCTGTGATACTATAATCACAGGAAAAGTTAAGGTTTGGGCAAACGAAAAGAAAGTGGAGCTATAGGAAATGCCAGGCCTTTGAGATGCTACATAGAAATGAATACAGTGTGAGCCACCAAGCAAAATAGGGGTCAAAGCAGAAAAACTCAGGTTTGGAGTTTTCACAGTAACTGTAATCGCTTGGCGTACATTCACAAATAGAGTTAATAAACTGGCATGGCTCTTGGCAAATTCTCCTATGACACCTGCAACTGCCAAGAGCTTGGGAGCCAGGGTAATGGTCACACCAGGCAGTTAGCTCGGATGGCACTGCTGAGCTCCCTAAGAACGAGTCTGACTGTAGTTATTATTGAATTAAAACCAGCCTCTCACTTATAAAGCAATGTTTTTAAAAATTATAAGTCACATGGCTGAGCAAATGCTTTGGGGGAAGAAATTAGTCATATGTTTCAAGCCAATAAGCAATTTCCCACCAGTGAATGTAGAATATACTGTGATAGGATCATAATTAGGTCCTGAATATTTAATATCATCATTTACTATGTCTGTTTGCTATCGTTTGTCAGAACCTATTTGGTATATCCTGCAAGCTAAATATGCCACAGCAAAACTTAATTACCATTTTTAATTCTTCTTGAAATCCTATGGTGCCCCTTTCCTCTACTTTGTGATAAGGGTGATGAGAATCTCTCCCTTAATTATATTGCAAATGTCACATGTGATGAACATGCTGTTCCAGGATAATATCTTGTAGCTTCCTTAGAACAATATTTTTAGTGAAGGAGCAGGCGTGGCTATTCTCTGGCCCTGGGGATACGGGTGTCCCTTGTTTTACACTGTTGGGATTCTGGGGCCAGAGGTCCAGCAAGCATCAGACCATATTTCATTGACTCTCAACCTACCATTTTTAGGAAGCTAGTCATTTACTTATTTGGAGACAAATCCCAGAAAAGTTTACTTATTTGGAGACAAATCCCAGAAAAGTTTACTTTGATAAGCTTTGGCCTATATATGGAATTAAAATCAATGAGACCATAATGATTATCACTGACCGAAGCTGGGACCCACCCTGCGATTTTGTATGGAGATAGTCATTATTTTGTTATACTTAAAAACATTTGGAAAACACCTAGGCGAGAGCTATGGCCCATAGCCAATGAAGTCTTGTCAATTTTTTGTCTAATTCTATATGTATAACTTATTGTATTTTACAGTTTCAATAAATAAACTAATAAAAAGGAGATCTACAGGTTGCTACAATGTGAGTTCTTGTGGGGATGGGGAGAGGTGGGGAGTGGAGAAGGTTCTGACATTCTGATCCTGGTTATTGCACTGTGTATGATGACTCTATAGGGCCGAGACCAGCCAGATACGAATTACCTAAAATGTTATGACCTGGGTCATTCACTCAACAGAAGCAGGCATTACAATGAGATCATGTAAAAAAACACTTGGAGTATTGCCTTCCAAGTTGCCATCATTAGTTTACAAGGCATTGATTCGCTTAGTTACTGCTGTGCAACATTCTGCCCCAACATTCAATGGCTTAAACCAACAACCACTTGATTATTACAGCTTACATAACTTACAATGCAGCCACTAAGATTTTTTTCCAGTTTGGTCTCATCTCAGCTGGGTGGTACAGATTTGCCATGAAATGCTCTTAGAGCTTCATATAGGAAATTGTAGACCTTGTGATACAAACTATTACTTAGGCAAATTCTATGGATTTGAAAGCTGTATTATACCTTCCTTGCTTGTGGTTCAATCCACACTTCCCAATTGTGTGGCTGCATTGTAAGTTATGTAAGATGGAGATTTGATCACTGACAAGAATATCCACTGCTTAGTGAGCATTTATTTGGCACTGGGCCAATTGTTTTTCAGATATTACCTCTTTCAGTCTCCAGGATAATATCAGAGTTAAATACTTGCACTATGCCTAACATATAGATGGGGAGATGAAGTTTTAGAGAGGTTAAACCTAACCTCTTTCCCAAAGTTACATGACCAGTGTCAGGGCTGGGACGGGGCTGGCATGTGTCAGATTCCAGAGCTTGGCATATGTACAATACTCTCTCCAGAATCCTTTGGCTAGTGAGGAGAGACTGGATTCAGGATGTCCCATTATAACCTCACTGGCTATTCTAGAATCTTCTATTATACTCCTTCACCCCTCAAGATCCACTGTCCATTGTTCCCTGGGCCTGGGAGGTTGACCTA